CTTCTAAGTCTTCTACGTCAAAATTTTCTTCTCATAGGACATATATACTTGCCACAGTGATATTGCCAATGATGGGGACAATTATCGTTAGCTTTCATGTTCATCATACTTCATAGGGGTGAGTGTATCATTGCCCCACTCATAAATGAATAGTTGCATGCACTCGAAATAATCATTTGTAAGATCCTCGCGGTCGTCATTCTCCAGTTCTTGCAAAGATTTGCTTGATACACAACACACTAATTTAATACATTCACTTAGCATGTAATGTATTCACATAGCGTGCATGGCACACTTTACTATAATGCACTTGTTTGCAGTTATGTGACGTAGTTGCCATCATCTTTATGCTTTCTTTATAACTATCATTCATTGTTCACTATCATCTGCAAATAAATTGTGTCTTATTGGAGATATACACCTATACATTGTGTTATCATTAGTCATGAGTAAATGATACAATGCAAATCCATCAATTCATAAATTTTATACATGTCCAATATTCTATTGGAAGGATTGCACTATCATTCAAATGATGCTCTAAAGTCATCATATGATGACCTTATAATCACCATACCTCCAAAATATTGTGTTCCTTATAAACAAGTTACATTCATCATTTCCTTGTTCTAAAAAGTTCATTGTAATTTATATGATGAATGTAGTAGCTTATTCATTAATATCTTCATTTTGATTGCAATAATCCTTGCAACTTAATTGTTATTTTCATATCAAAGTTTGCAAATTATTTATGTATAGCTATTTGCTTGTAGGAAAGTTATACTCATTGCCTCCACATATTGTTTGTAACATACATGATGATTTGTAGATAGTTTGTCACATATTTTGCAATTTCATTAACTTTGCTCAATGGTGAATCAAATCCCATGTTATGAGTCAATTAGCTTGACCCAAAAGCTCACACCATGGCTTTATAATAAATCATCAACTTTTGCAATATCATTTCCCTTTGCTTGTTAAGATTTGCTTTGTCAATCATGAACATTTAATTGTATTCTCCATTTTCTTCATATTAATAATTGCTTGCAAGTTCTTTTTTGTTATCATTTGCTTCAAGTCCAAATTCTCTTTTTTTGTTTAAATTATTTTGAATTAAATTCAATATTAATCATTCATATTGTATGTCATTTTGTATTTTGTCTAAGTTCAAGTCTAAGTGCAAGTTCCAGTCTGAGTTCAAGTTCGGTTTGTCCAAATTCTGTCCAAGTCCTTGAATCTTCAGTCAAAATTCTGGCAGCCTCCCAGTGTCTCCCCCGTTTAGGGGAAAACTACGAGAAACTGGGCCTTTCCCACCATGCTAAGAAAAGCGTGTATGGTAGGTGTCCTCGAACAAGGACACCGGGGCCGGATTTTTTTGTCGTCCCCCACCACGCTAAGAAAGGCGTGTATGGGTCCTCGGTACCTGTTGCAAAATAAAAGCAGTTATTTCCCCGCAAGCGGGTACTTATGGGTATCCCTACTTCATTGTACGCGTTGCACCGGGTTCCCATCCCACCACGCTAAGAAAAGAGTGTATAGGCGGTTTTCCGGTGCGCCACGAACTAAAAATAAGGGATTTTGGGTGATTACTCGCTTCGTCGCAAGCGCCGCAACGCACTTCCTCCCACCACGCTAAGAAAAATGTGTATAGGTGGTCGTTTTGTCGCACTGCATGCGTCGAAACGAGTTTTCTAAAACTTGCAAAAAAATTTTTTTTCTTTCTTTTTTTTTGAAATAATCTCACACTTCTTTTTTTTGCATCTCGTTTCTTCTCTTTTTTTTAATAACCTCATAATTTTTTTTTAAAAGCTCTCTTTTTTCGTCTCTCTTTTCTCTTTGTAAGCATACATTTATATTTATATAAACATGAAATAAAAATGTGGGTACATATATCTGTATACTTCTAACAACAATACATAGAAACAATTTGGACACTAAAGATATCAACGTCGACAATACTAAATGAAAGTATTTAATTATGTTACTAGACGAACTAAACACTAATAACCAAAAATGAGAGCAAAATTAAATAAGAATTAAAAAGAAAATAGTTGAAAAGATTGCTATTTGGATGCAGGATTGTGATGGGCTCAAATGAGGTTTTATGTGGAGTAATACTTCTTGAATGAACTGATCTTGATTTGGAATGTTTGGTGGGCTCTTCCTTTTTTTTTTTAGGACTTGGAGAGATTATTTTGATGGAACTGTGGGGTGGTGAATTGGTCAGCTACAGATTTGTTAGCCTCTTTTTTTTGTAATGATAATAATAAAGTTATTATAATATCATTATAATCACAATGACTATAATAATAATAACAATGTAAGGCTAACACCACTAATATTGCAATTACTAATGATAGTAACTAAATTAAGTTAGTGATAAAATGATACTCATCATAACGATAACAGAAATGAGCTCTTGTTTAAACCTTTAAGACAGTCGTGATGTCTGAACTAAGATGAAATATCAATTGTGTTTGATGTTTGGGCATATGCAAGAAAGCTCAATTGTTTGGAATCCTAAAAAACAGGTTGTCTTGTAGTGGAATTTTTATTGCCTCAGGTAACCTGACGTAGATCTACGTTCGGCATACCCTAATCAAGCACCACATAGCAGCCTCATTTACGCAGACCCGACCCGACGAATGTTGGGTTTATGGCACGTGTGGATTTTGAATTTGACGGCCTGACCAGCAGACCCGAAAAATACCCGACGGACCCAAAAATTATGTATAATTTTCAAATAAAGATCACCATCTTTCACTTCAGCCATCATTTGCTTGCATATACGAAGCTTTCTTTATGGCAATACTTCATCTTCTTCCAAGTTCCAAGCTCCCCGTATTTGCATTTCAACATCTTTCGGAGATACAATGCCTCAGGTTAGTTTCTTTTTATATAAATAATGCCTCATCTTCTTCTTTTTTAATGTTTAGGGTTAGGGTATACGGATAAAGTCGTAAACCTTCTTAAAATTTAAACTTGGTGAAGAAACAATCTTAGAAACGAGGTCGGTATTACTCGATATAGATTAGTATTGCTCGGTACTGCTTGATACCGAGCATTACAGGCAGTTATAAACACTCGGTACTACTCAGTACTGGCGATTAATAGTTGGAATAAGCTTAGCGTAAAACATAAAAGATACTATTGATTTAGTACCGAGTTAAATACACTCGGTATTGCTCAGTGCCGAGTGATTTGGGCAGATTAATGATCGATATTGCTCAGTTAAGATTCGATATGTTGCTCGGTACTGCTCGGTACTGCTCGGTATGTTGCTTGGTACTGATCGGTATTATGAACAATAACTCGGTATAAGCTTGCTTTAGTAGTCCAAATAATGTTATATACTCGGTACTCATCGGTAATAACTCTATTATATTCGGTACTGATTGTCTTTTGTATATATAATTTAATACTCTGAATCGATTGTCTTTAATACTCGGTATCTGTTAAGCAGGGATATACTCAAAAGATCCATTTCAGATGTCGAACTTCGACTTTTAGAGAAGTTTGTAATCAACATGTTTGGAGATTTGGAGATCCATTTATTGAAAGACTGCGGCTGCTGTAAATTAGCCAATTCCTGAGAGTTCCCCTAATGCCTCAAAATATTTCACTTATGTATATGCTGATATCCAAGTGGGATTTGAAGACTGAAAGTTTTATTATTAAAGGATATAGGCTAGAGTTCACATCTAACGAGGTTTCCTTAATCATAGGCATGCCGAATAGAGGTATTATTTTGACGTTGGCAGTGCTAGATCCAATGGCAAAACATCAAATGACATTCTCCATGACATTGAGAGGATGGATAATTCAACTCCAATGAATGATCTAGTGAAAGGATTCGTCCTTTACCTACTATCCAACATTTTTTATCCAATGGCGAACTTCCGTATACCATCATCTATCCTGTAAGTTGTAAAAAATGTTGATAGTTTTAAAACGTACAACTGGCCAGAATCAATTAGGAGTTTCCTAGTTAATGAATTCAACATTGTTGCTACTAAACAAGCAAATGGATCCGCACTGGGTTATGTAAACGGTTTCGTCATATGTAATTGTGAGTATTATTATTTTGATCAAAAGTTTTTGTTAAATTTCCAATTTCTATAACAAATTTAAATTGTCTTCATTTTTATAGATTTGGTTTCTTGAACATACAACCATTCATGCTATAGAGGATGAACTATCCTGCCCATGTTTTACTCGGTGGGATGGTAGTTTTATCTACAGTGAGAAAGTCGTAAATAGTATATTTGCAGACCTTGAGGATCATGAGGTAGCATCATTACATCTTTTCATTTAAATGTCTGCTAAAATTATATGTTTAATTGTTTAAATTAAATGAAATATTAAATTTTATACAGATTCTCAGTAATTTTTGAGAATTAATAGAGGATGAGAAGGCTTTATTGCACACTCCTTCTTCACCGAGTCCAGCCAGTCCAATATGGGTGGCAAGCCCAATTAGGGTGGCTTGGCCACCTACACATGATTCATCTCCACCTAGTCCTGGTAGTCCAGTCAGGGAACCAAGTCCAATCTGGGTGGCAGGCCCATCTAAATATCATTCATCTCCACCTACTCCTAGTAGTCCAATTAGGGTACCAAGTCCAATAAGGGTGGCACGCCCACCTAAACATGACTCATCTTCACCTACTCCAGTTAGTCCAGTAAGGGTGGCAAGCCCAACAAATCCTGATTCATCTGCACATATTGAATCAAGTCTAAAAAAATGAAACAAACCTGAAGTTATTAAATCAAGCAATATACAAGCTATTTACCAAGAACAAATTTATGAAGAAGAAGGTAGCTTTGGTGGAAGCAACCAATACTATACTTGAACAGCGCATAGTGATCCTGGAACAATCTGTTTTTCATTTGAAGAGGAGATTTTTGATTTGAAAGAGAAGATAAAAAAGAAAGATGGCTTTATATTGCAGTTCTTACAAGATCAGTTTCCTTCTTATTTTAAAACTTACAAGAATGAAATGGCTGCTAATTCTTCTTCATCTGCTACTATATCTGAAAAAGATGCCAGCCTGAGTGAGGATGAGGTTGATCCATCCTTACTAACCAGCATTGCAAAAAGAGTGCAGTTGAGAAATGATAGAAAGAGAAAAGTTGTATCCACACCTTTTACAACGGGTGATAGAAAGAAAAAAATTAAACAAAATTTGTCATCCAAAGAGAAGTTCAGTGACTCAATTCCAAGTGATACTCCTGCACTAGCACTGAACTTGCTCCTGCTCCTACACCAGCTCCTGCAACTGAAACTGATCGTGCTCCTGCACCACCTACTGCATCTGAACCTACTCCAACTTCTCCAAGTGAACTTGCACCAGCTCCTGAAATAGCTCCTACACCTGCACCACCTCCTACAACTAATCCAGAGCCTGAACATGCTCCTGTAACTGGTCTTGAACCTGCTGCTGATAAAGCTTTTTTTTTATGAAGTTGATGACTCTAAAGAAATAGAATTGAGGCCTACACCTGAAATATTAGATTACCTAGGGGGATCATTAATAAGTGAAGATTAACGCATATTCATCGATAATGGCCTAAAACAATTCAAGGATAAGTGAGTATTGAACTTATACCGACAAAAATATATCTATACAGAGTAGTCATGAGGTTTACTGATCGGGACTACTTGGTATTATATTAAATAGACTCGGTACTACATCAATACCGAGTAGTACCGAGCTTTACTGATCGGTACTACTTATTATTATATGATACTATATCAATACCAAGTAGTATCGAGCTTTACTGATCGGTACCACTCAGTATTATATTAAATAGACTCAGTACTCTATCAATACCGAGTAATACCGAGATTTATGATTATGTATTTATTTTTTATTAATCTTTTGTAATTAATATTTTTTGAATTATCCAGGAATGATACTATTTTCGATTTTGGAAATATAACAATTTATAGAAGCCAATTGGACGAGTTATTAATGTCAGAGGAGCTTGATAATAATCACGTCGATGCATTTGCTTATTTATTAGGCCAGAAGAATGCCCATTGCCCCGGTCTTAATCAACCATTTCGTTTTGTTTCAAGTTTCCATTGTGTTAGTAAATCAATAGTAAATCCTTGCGTTGGCTAATTCTATTTATTAGTTTTAAATATGTTGGTATTAATCACCACTACTATTTTTTCTTATCCAGGGTTACTATATACAATCAAAAGAGACAAACACAACAAACTTCATATCTCATATAAACAAAACTGTTATTAGGAATGTAAATTTGAACTTTGTTTCTATAATAAACGGTAAACATTGGACGCTTATAGTATATAATTTGAGAACAAAACGGTGGGAATTTTATGATTCATTACCGAAAAAGACACACAAAGCCATACTCCCAGAAGTTGTAAGTAATACCAATATTTGTTTTTAATTTTTATTTTAACATTATTGCATGTTAATTTTATTTTAATTTTCCAAATTTCTCATTTCTATGAGGATACAAAGAACGCTTTTGACAATGATATAATGAAATGGCCAATCATATGATTTAAAAACGTGCCAACACAAGATAATAGTGTTGATTGCGGTATGTTTATTTGTAAATATATGGAAGTTGTAATGCAACATGAACCTGTTCAATGGTATCATTATAAAAACTGGCAATCTAGTATGCCACTATTCAGGGCTGAATTAACATATGCCCTGTTATGTACTAAAATTTAATAGATTATGAAATAAATAGTGATTTTTTTTTGTATATTTCTTGTGCATTTTTAATGTGTATATTTCATATGCCCTGTTATGTACCGAGCAGTACCAACTTCTATAATCTAGTACCGAGTATTAAAAAGGACTAATACAGAGCAATACCCACTAATCAAAGACTAATACCAAGTAATATAAAAACAGATCAGTATTGCTCGATATTAGTCAAAATTTGCTCGATACTGTATTAATGCAGCTCAGTACACTCTAAATACCGAGCAATACCGACTTCTGTAATTATGTTCCGAGTATTAAAAAGGACTAATACCGAGCAATACCCACTAATCAAAGCTAATACTGAGCAATATGAAAACAGATCGGTATTGTTCAGTATTAGTCGAAATTTGCTCAGTACTGTATTAATGCAGCTAAGTACACACTGAATACCGAGCAATACTGACTTATGTAATCAAGTACCAAGCAAAATAAACTAATTATAGAGTAATACCGAGCAATACAAAATTATAACAGTACTACAAAATTCTCAAAATAAAAATTCACATATAAAATCAGAAAGTCATATTCATATTAGAAATATCTCCAAATTCCCAGATTACATGAAAGACGATTGACTACCTGAATCTGGATTTATAAAGTGTATGCTTATTGGTGGATTCTTCTCCGTGGTTTTAACTTTTTTGGTCTTCCTTTTCTCCCAGTGATCCTTCAATCTTGCATTTGATATGCCCTTTGGCCAACACTTCTTAGGATCTTTAATAGTTTCATTACATGCTCCAAAAATTGGTTTGTTCTTTCTGCCAAGCTTGATGGAATGCACTTTTGCAGCCAAAGTACTCAAATATTCTATCACACACATTTCAGCCTCCTAATTACCTTATACTTATGTGCTAATTTTATATGCAAATTGACATATATAATTTCTGAACATCAAGTCGCTGGACCCTTTAATAGGTTGGCAAGCATTGATACAGAGATATGGGATCTTCCCTCCAGAATATAAATCATTTTGAGCTTTTGCTGACCATCTTGGGAGTAAATAATTAATGGGGATATTAACAATATCTACTATCTCATAACTGTCATGCAATGAGCACATAATATACCCATCATTTTAAATTTTGCACAGCTGCATTTAATGATACCTTCTAATGAATTAAAATTAAAAATCCAATTGTGTGAATCAGTGGAGTTGTCTATGTTCTTTACGGAAAACCTTGATAAATCCGATGAAGAATGTTCAATGCAGAGTCTACCAAGTCCATGTAAGAGCTTCTCTTCAAAAAATGAATACAACTTTCTTAAATAAAATTTTGCAGCTTGCTTCAATATTGAGCTACTTTTCATATAAGACTCTATATCTATTTGACTACATGAATTATTCATCTTATTCATTTCGACGCCAAGTCCTCATCAACTTTTCCAAACTGAGGAAATACTCAGTGATAGTACTTCTTGGCTTGGAATAACTATGGCATACAAGATTGGTGGACTCACTACATTGGGTTGATAAAATGCCAAGGTTAAAACAATCTTTGTTGAATGCAGTTGACCACTTCTCCCTGATTTTGTAGAGATCATTCAACCATTGATTGCTTTGTAGGTTTCCTTCTGAGATCATTTAAGTCCATTTTCTCTTAAATTCCTCCACAGAATCACATTGCTTGAAATAATAAAAAAATAAGAATTTAACTCTATTGTTGCTGTTCAAGTACCATACTTTTGAAGGAGCCTTTTTGTACAGTTGCCATTGGCACAATCGATGCCGTGTATTAGGCAATGCAATCTCTATTACCCTGGCCATAGCTTGGTCCTGATCAGTAAAAATAGGAATGAGATGTTTGTTATCCATAATTCTTAGAGATGCTCTAAAAAGCCAAGTAAAAGAATCAATAGTGTCATCAGATAAAAATGCAACTCCTAATAGAACATTTTGCCAGTGATTATTCACTCCGACAATTAGAGCACATGCTAAGTTATATTTATTTAAATGATAACTTATATAAAAAATAATCACGTCCCTAAAACAGTCATAATCAATTCTACCAAGTGCATCAACCCAGAAGAAATTCAACAAACAACCATCTTCATCAGTTTGGACATCTCAGGCAAACATGTTGTCATCAATTGGCCGTTCTTTAAACAACTTGATCAGTGAATTAGTGTCTCTAGTCTCAATCTTGGCTCTTCTTTCTTTTTGGATGTAGTTGTGTGCATCCCGCTTGGTGAAACCCAGATTACCAACACCTCCAACTTCATCAGATAGCTAGGTAAATGCATCAATAGTTCTTATCCCTGCTTATGACATAGATTTCAGAATAGCTGCATTCTCATCACTAATACTCCTAGACGACCTGAGCAAATGTTGATCATCCGACCTAGTCAGTTAGTGATTGTGACTCTCTATATCTTTATTCACTCCCTAAATCCCATCTTGACTCACCGAAAATCTAACCATGGCTGGACATCCTATTCTTGTACATGATTTTTGATATTTTACCTTTGTACCCATCTCAGTCTCCTTCTTGAAACCTTTTTTTAGAACACATAAAATCCTTTGATTTGATTTTCCTTGAATTTAGACATAAATGACGATGATCTTTCCAAACACTAAATCCAGTTGAATGAGCATAATGGCAATATTTTTTATATGCTTCCTTCTCAGAGTTATAAACACCCTGTGAAATATTCATACATCCAGTTTAGCTTTATATCTATATATCAATACCGACCTTATACTGAGCTTATACTGAGGTTGAATGATCGGTACTACGACGTACTAATATTTATTAGCTCAGTACAAATGTGCACCGAGTTTATACCGAGCTATAAAATTCAATATCGAGCTTATACCATGCTATAAAAATTAATACTGAGCTTATACCGAGTTAATTGAATGATCAGTTCCATGTAATGATCAGTACTATCTTATACCGAGCGAGACTTAACAACTGTAATGATCGGTACTACTTCAACCAATGTTTGATTTGCTCTAAACTTGTATGCAAATAGTTCATACCGAGTATCACTATCTAGTACCGATCAGTACCGAGGTATTTCAAACCCTGTACCGAGTAAATCTAATGGATTTGTATGATTTTACGTTGATACTCAATTCTATCCTTAATGAAACAGTAAAAAGAAAAAAAATCAAACATTATAGATAAGGAATTACTTGTATTAAATTAGAAAATGCTTGATCAAAGTTTAACATCGGAGTTTCCTCGAAATCTTTGAAGTCTTCCAAAGCAAAACCTACATTCATTCCTTCCAGCTCCTTAAACACTTCACGATTTCTTTACGTGCGGTATATAAGAATTATATGAACCATAAAGACTATATAACATCTTAGGTTTAATACCGAAAAGGTTATTATACCTGAGATAAAAGCCACGTACTTTTTTAGTTTTCCCACCCAATTCATATACAATGCGACAGGCTGACCCGAAATATTTTAAAAAATGTGCTAAAGCATATGGGCCGTCGTTGGGTCATTACGGGTAAATGAGCCTAATATGTGGCATTTTTTTAAGCAGTACCGAATGTAGAGATGCGTCAGGTTACCTGAGGTAATAAAAATTCCTTGTAGATTGGGTTTGCTTTAGTTTTTAAATTTTTGCCTAATTTAATGAACAACGAGATTTCTAATTATAATAGATTATCTAGTACAATGTGGTGCTTGTACTATATGATAAAATTATATTTTATTTTTTTTTAAGAAAAATTAAATATTTTAATTAGTTTTATA